AAAAAAAATGCCATCATTCAATTAAATTGTTAGAATATGCATGATTGTTCTTCCCTATTTTCTTAGTGCCAAAGACTTACTTTAAAGTCCTTTCTTGGCTAACAGACATGTTTTTCTTCTGTGTCATTTACCTCTGTTCCTGTTCCTTACCTTAAATTATTACTGGCTTGGTTTTGGAAGACAGTAGACGTTCTGGATGACAGGTCCCAAGCTACAGATGTATAACACATTTATGCTGATTTTATTATTAATTCAAAGGGAGATGCTGCTATATTGGAGTTCTGATATTATTAGCCATTGTTACACAGAAGTCACTTCCAATCATATTGCTGAGTGAACTAGGAAAGGCCTGAGCTCTATGGAAGTTGGAGCAGTGTGACTGTGGTACCTGATAACATGGTGATGTTTGTGATTGTTAAGTCCTGCTCTACTTCAGGAGTAGTAGTAAGTTATCCAGATAGATGCTAGGCCCTATCTAGCAATCACAGGGGTGATCTTCAAGGAAGATCTATGTAATTCTCCATACAGGGTTGTTTACATGATTCTGTGGGTATGAAGTTTTTCCTAAGGATAAAGATATCATGAAATGTAATGTCCATGGTGAAATGTTACTCTCATTGTACAGAATTCATTCACACAATTACATCCCCGAAACAGATTGTTTAGCATTAAGAATCCAGTCATTTTCCACATTTGTCTTGTGGTGTAAGACATATAGGAAGAAAATTATAAGTATTCTCTCCACTGGACCACAACTCAAATTATATATTAGAGACGTTCCTGGAACATGAATTTCTCCCCCATGAAATGATAGGGAGACTCTTTTTTCCTTATATCCCTACTGTATTTAAAGCTGTTCTTTAACCTAAATGTTTTTACTTTAAGGTTCTTTTCATCTGTGAAATGACAAGAGTCAAGGAAGATGGTCAGAGGTGTGAATTTGAAAGTCATCAATCTAAGCCTTACCTATGTATTTTGCTACAGTGTGAGTTGGGAAAATAAAGTCTAGCTGTATGCTCACAGTGAATGAATTTTTAAATCCCTTTCCTGCTTCTTTATTCTTGTGCTAATCTCTTTCTCTTACACTGGACACCAATAGATTTTTACTGTTTGTAGTTACAACCACATACTTCCTTCTATGTCCCAAGAACGATGTTTCCATTCTCCCTTGTTTTGTACTCAGTGAGCCTCCTTCATAAATTCTCTTTCGTGTTTTAATGTTCTTTATACCAAATTCTTTTCTTATTTACTTGAATAATCTCTGCTAGAGGGCCATCATAGCTTGTATTAGCCAAGAAAGTGGGAAAAAACTAGATCATGCCTAAATAAAAAAATCCAGAAATGCTTTTGCTGGACTGTAACCCCCTTCTAAGGGACATCTCTGTACTTTAGTGTATATTGGTACCACTTTTGATTAATAGGGCTCAACAAGGACAGATGCACATACATTCAGATATATAGTAAGTGAAAAGATCATTTTATAAACCAACAGAGACATGTGGCATCCATAATACTTCAAAATACGTAGTAAAAAGTAATGATTATACTAGAATTAGCTGGTCCACTAATTTTTTGAGTTACTTTGACTAAACAAAGTACCCAGTAATAAACATGTTGCTTTGAAGGCATTTAAAACAACAATGTTAAAAACATTATAATCAGCCAAATTTCAGTTAGATTACCTTCTATAATGTAGATAAAGAGTGGCCCCCAAAGGGAGTGACAGAAGGGGCCATATACGGGATAAGGCAAAAGCATGATAGTATTTTAAACATTCTCTATGAAGTCCCTCATTGCATATTTGTACTAATACTATGTACGCATGCTTTCTATTTTCATCCTGTTTTACAACTGAACAACTGAGGCACACAAAAGACAGATTCTTTAGCACAATTTATCAGTCAGCAAACAACAAAACCATATTTTGGATCATGGTTTGTGCAATCTGACAAATTTCACTTGCAATATTACACAGACAAGGCACAAACTCACAAATATTATTTAGAGAGGATGTTGAAAGAGGCACTAGCAAGTAAGGAACCTAGAGTTTTCACATGAACTCAGAGTAAATATACATCGTGAATGATGTCAGGTGTTCAACTCAGGAAGTCTGAATCTAGAGCTAAGTGTTGAATAACTCCATTGCCTGCTCGTGACCATAAGTTCCAGAGATGGTCATTGGAAAAACTGGGATTTTATCGTGTCATTATATTTGACTATCCTCCTCTTGATGAAGCCATATACATACATAAGTACATACATGCATACTTACATACATACACAGTACATTCATACATACATACATACATACACATTCATACATATATAATTTTATTACATTTTAAGTTTTTTCCTTTCTTCACTCTTTCCCTCCTCCCCCTGAGCATTTTCATGCACATGTATTATAATGTGCATATGATGGTTAGAGAATTACTTGTGGGTGCAAGCCTGTTCTCTTTTTTCATCACGTGTGTCTTGGGGATTGAACTCAGGTCTTCAGGTTTGGTAGCAAGATCCTTTTCTCATAGAGCTGTCTCACCAGTCTTTTGAGTAATACATAAATTGAGAAAAGATAATTGGATTTACTGCTTATAACCCTACAGTTTGGGGGGTGAAGGCAGGAGAGCAAGGAGTTCAGGTCCTCCTTAGCTATGTAGTCAGTTCAAGGCTAGGCTAGGCTCAATCTCAAAGGCAAAGAAATAAGTATATAAAGTTTAGAACAGGAAACTAACACAAGTTTTAATAACTTATTGGTATCATTCAGCCAAAATTAAAAAAAAAAACGAAAAAAGAAAAGATTCTATTGAATCCTCTATAGAAGTAAATCTGGCCAGGCACTTGAGCTTATGACTATTTCCTCTTAAGTACTGAGATTGTGAAGGTTATAGAACTCAGATCACATGGAGGATGAAGGAAGATAGGTATCATATAGTAGGTTACTTTTCACGATGAGAAAGATTAGTGTGTGTGTGTGTGTGTGTGTGTATACATGCATAAACTAATATGCACATGACACTGTGCTAGCTGCTTTCATGGATTAATCCTAAACTTGTAGTGACTTAATACAATAGAAGTTCATTTGGACCTTCCATAAAATCCCATAAAAGTGACCCTAGCTCTTAGAAACCGTC